TGTGTGTGTGTGTGTGTGTGTGTTGGGGGAGAATGTGCTAACACCTGAGTTTTGAGACCAAGAGGGAGGGAGGTTTGGGGTGGCTGGTGGCACACACCAATTAGAACTACAAACCAAAGCTGTGCTGGTGAGTGGACAGTGACAGCGGTGGTGGCTGTTTAATGGGTTCCCCTGGCTTATGACAGAATCTGCTGCTCCTTATACTTTATTATATTACTTATATTGAGTAAGAGGCAGGGAAAACAAGGTTCTTTGCTCAGGGACATTTACTTCGAACACTTCATCATCCTGCCTGAGTGGCCGGCGCTGGGAGGCAGAGAATTCTCCTACTGGGCAGGATCACAAGAGGCAAGGATCTGTCATATGTCACAACAAACTAGAAAGCAAGAAGGTGAAATGAAGCTCCCCCTCCCTTCTGTGAACTTACAACCCCTTTTTCAGATAAACAGGGATAGGTGTAACCCTTGGGATCCCATGCACACACCCACACGCACCCCTTCCTTCTCCCAGACTCCGAGCACAGGTGATCCAGGTACCAGTCACTGCTCCACCTTTCACAGAATCTTCACCCTTGCAGAGTGACTCACTGGAGTTGGCTCACCAGGAGGTCTGACCCTGCGCCTAGCAGAGGAAGGCTGCGGGCCACTCTCTTCTCTCTTGTGAAAATTCATCTCTACCTCTGACCCAACCGCAATTTCCTCCTAATCCACCGCTTTTGAAAGTGCAGGCAGTTAAGAGGATGTGCTTAGAAGTTCCTTTGCTCTCCCGAGAGTTCTGAACTTTTGTCCTTCTTTGCCCAGTTCTTCCAACCTCAGTGTCCCTGATTCTGAGAACCCCAAGCTTCTAAAGGGCTAGATTTTACCACTGGGAACTGGCCTCCCACCTTCACGGACTGGAAAGTGTAAACACAAGTGTTAGCCAGTTTTGCACAGGTGGTCTTCCTCAGCGTCTACACCTTCCCTGCCTCCTGGTTATTAGGAATGTATTTCACAAAGGAAGAAACCAAGGTTCAAAGTGGCTTCTGCCCTAGAGGGCTATTACTGTGTATGGATTGAAGCAGTCTCTACCCCTCAGGTCAGGTCCCAGCCTGGAGGTCCGGGTGCGGCCTGCGCCTCCTTTCTTCCTCTCCGGGTCCCAGGGGAGCTGTGGCAGAAACTCCTGCCACACCGAAAGGCTCATGGTTTCCTTCCGGGCCAGAACTGGGTGGGGGAAAAATTTCTTCAATGGTTTTGAGGTGCTTACTATAGGTGGCATCCAAGACCACCGCCTCAGTGAACTTGTGTTTACTAGAACAGGTCTCTAACTCCCGGCACCGGAACCGCCGACGTCCTACAACTAAGAAACCAGAAAAAGAGGGCCTGGGTAACCCGCAGCTGCAACAGTCGGTCCAGCCACAGGCCAAGCTAAGCATTCATCCGGGTCCCTGAAGTCCTAGTTTTGCCTGGAAAGCCTAGGCGCATTTATGTTCCGGGTTTAGGCCAGAGAGCGCGCCCCAGGTGTTGCTCTCCCCTGGCGAGGCCGGGCTAGTGCAGCCCTGCGGCAACGCAGCTCCGCTTTCGCTACTCCCTGCGGCCATAAAGTAGTCGGTGGGCGCCTCCTTTCAAGGGTCCTAAAGGCCTCTAGCACCCTAACTACGCGGTCTGGGCCGGCGGTCCTTCAAATCCAAACCAGGCCTCTCTGGGGAGGGCCTGGAGGGCAGTAAACGAGGTAAAAGTAAGTGAGGCCCCTCCAATTCGTTCTACCGGTGCCTGGAACCACTCTCTTCTTCTTGGTGCCCATTCCCAAAGGATCGGGCTCTCCACCATCACCCCGCTGCATTCCCAGGTTTGCTACTGTGGTCACCTTCGAGACTCTCTGCCCTCTTCATCCTCCCCCCCACTCCCGTCTTCCAAGGCACCCCAACTTTCTCCAGCTCTCTCACCTGAACCCCCGAAGCGCGGTTTCTTCTTTCTCCACTAAAGATGAACCCGCCGCCTGTGGAAAAGCAGCCCCCCACCCCCACCCAGCCTAGGCTGCAAGCCACTTGCTTAACAAGTCCAAAGGTCAGCTAAAGTTTGGCTGATAAACAGAACCGGTAGAAAAGATTTGGAGCCCCCCCAAGGGTGAGTACAATGGGCCCTGGCAAGTCCCGATCCCGGCCCAAGTCTCTGGCTCCGTTGGACTGTCCCTTAGGCGCTCCCACTCTCTCGGTTTTTCCCCCTCCCCACCACCATTTGCATCTTGCCGAAAGCCGAGCCCTTCCCACTCATTTGCATATCTTATATGGCCTAATGGTGGCGATCATGGCAAGTTAGAAGTTTTCTGACTCCTCTCGGAGGAGACTCCGGGACCCTGGGGAGTAACAGGTGTCTGGAGGCTAAAGGGTGGAGGGGTTCCAGGACTTAGAGTTCTCTTGTAAAACTCCCCTCCACCCTCCTCTCTCACACCCACCCATCCCCTCACCCCCTTCTTTTTCCGTCCTTGGAAAATGGTGTCCAAGCTCACGTCGCTCCAACAAGAACTCTTGAGCGCGTTGCTGAGCTCTGGGGTCACCAAGGAAGTACTGGTCCAGGCCTTAGAGGAGTTACTGCCGTCCCCGAACTTCGGGGTGAAACTGGAGACGCTGCCTCTGTCCCCCGGGAGCGGGACGGATCTCGACACCAAACCGGTTTTCCATACTCTCACCAATGGCCACGCCAAGGGCCGCTTGTCTGGGGACGAGGGCTCGGAGGACGGGGACGACTATGACACTCCTCCCATCCTCAAGGAACTGCAGGCACTCAACACCGAAGAGGCCGCGGAGCAGCGGGCCGAGGTGGACCGGATGCTCAGGTAGGCAGCAAGCGAGGTGCTGGGTACGCCCGGACCACCCCTAACCCTGTGGGTCCATGGAGTCAGTCCCCTGCCCCGCACTGGAGGCGGAGGCGTGTGGTGCAGACTGTTCTCCCGCAAGCCCCTTTCCCATGGGAAAAAAATCCCCCTGGGGTGCTTCGCTTCTCTGAGAACAATTGAACTAGTTCCTCAGCCGGCTGACCTGCAATCCGAGGGAGGCTTCATCTGCCTCCACCTAGGTGGGCGCCCGGGACTTAAGCACCTTGTTGGTGGTACCCAGGCGTGAGAACCGAAGGTGCAGAACCTTAAACCTCACAGGACTAGAGACAGCTGTGATTCTCCTAGGACCTCAGACTTGCACCCCCACGTACTTCCAAAACTTCGAGCCACACATTTCTCCCAGAGACTTAAAGCTCTCTGCAGAGACGGGTCTGGCAGCATTGGCGGCTGAGGCCTCGGAGGCAAGTTCTTTGAGTCCTTGCTTCTGCAGCGCCAGTGCGAGCACTGCAGCTTTAGAATTGTAAAGCGGAAAGTTTGCTGTAGGGTCACGATGGACCCTTGCCGGCCAAAAAAAAACACGAATAATGAAAGGAAGGGAGCGAATGTGTGGGATACGTGGTCCTAAGACACCCCTGCCCCACTTTGTAGAGAACCTTGTCCCAATCTGAGAAAGGTGGGTGTGTACGTATAGCACCCCGGCTATCCTGTGGGGGATCCGGGGACTGGCTGCTGTCTCTCTGGTGGCTGGGATCACTTGCCGGTCCTCTCGCCCTGGCCTACACTTTGACAGCTAGTTACTAATTATCTAAGGAGCCAAGTGATTCCCTTAGGCCACACGTTGTTTGGGAGCCACTTGGCTTCAGAAAGGAGCCCCTCGCGTGGCCCCTGACTCTTAAACCCCTCAGCTTCGAAGTTTCACAGAGAGTCCCAAGTGAATGCGATCCTTAGTGGCTAGGCTCCCTCTCCCGCAGAGCAGGTTGGAGTGGTGACCTTGCATTTGAATTTGCACTTTGGGTACCTGACCACTTGCCCTCCAGCCAAGACAATCTGGGGGACTTGTAGTTTTGTTTTGTTTTAATCCCCTAAAATGTTTTTTTTTTTTTTTTTTTTTTTTTTTTTTTTTTTTTTTTTTTTTTTTTTTTTTTTTTTTTTTTTTTTTTTTTTTTGCTCTAATTCACAAGCTTGGGAAACATGTGGCGGTGATTTCTCTCCTGTCGGATTTAGGGGCCTGGATGGTATCCGGTGTAGAGGGTACCCCCGAGCGTCTGGGGCGGTAGGGTGGCAGGGAGGTTGTACAGGACCTGGCTCACCTAACCAGCATCCCGTCACCCGCCCCCCCTGGGGCCTAGGCCCTTCCTCTTGGCCTCCTGGCGGCCCTGGGCCGCCGTCTAGTTTGCCTCGGAGCCGACCTGAGGAAGCAGGAGAGGCCTAGTGAGCCTCTGTACTGTGGTCCCCACGCTGTGCTGGACACAGCGGAGAAGTAACATAAACTGCAGCACGTGGAGTTGGGGTGTTATTAATTTATTCCTATAAATCATCAACAGAAAGTACACAAAGACCGTGATTAGGTTGAAAAGAGAGGCGGGTTATTCATTGGTGAAGTTGTAAACTCGGCTTAGAAAAGGAAGAAAATCAAAACGCAGGAGGGGGTGCTCGCGGGGCGCTAGCACGGCACACGCACTTCACCGCGGGGTGCGCCCCCAGGTCCCTGGGCCACTCCGGGAAGCCAATACCCGCAGGGCCCGTGCAGGTCGGAGGTCTTAGGACCTGGGCCTTCTTCCCTCCCTCAAGCTGGTAGGGGGCAGACGGAGGGGAGCCCAGACTCTAACTGGGGTGAGGACCCAGGACACACCGGGAGGTTTTTGTCCCTTTCACAAGCTGGTGCCGCCTTCCCTCCCCTGGGCCTCCTGGAGCTTCCGACTTTATTAAAGTAATTTTTCAAGAAATTGTTAGCAGCTCCCAGGTCACTGCATAGCCGACTTCAGGGTACCAAGCATTCTCTACCCCGCCCCCCGCCCCCATCCTCCTTGTTCCCCCGTAAGTCAGAAAGAAAAGAAAGGTGTGCGGGGGAGGAGGGTCACTCGGTGGTGCGCTTGGACGCCTTCGAAGTTAAGCCAGAGAGGACGGTTACAAACTGCAGAGTCCTGCGATCCCCGGCTGCCGGCCTGGAGACTGGTACGTCCCTGGCACTTAGGAGAACCCGCCACCACCTAGGAAGCTGGAACCAAGGCTCCTGGCCCGTGCGGCTGCAGCCCAGGGCTTCTCTGTTCTGAGTGGGACAGCAAAGTCATTGTTGAGGAAGGAGCCGGCAGGGAGGACAGTGTGGCCACCTCGGGCTGGCATTTGACACCTGCGCTGGCTCCAAAAAAAAGCCAACCTCAAATCGCGACCCGAGTTTATCCCGGTGAGGAAACTGTATTTCCCAATAACTCTTACTGGAGCTTCAGAGCTCTCTATCCCTCAGCGAACACGCGGAGCAAGCATTAAGGGGTCTGAGAGGTTAAAAAAAAAAAAAAAAAAAAAAAAAGTGTAACTACGCCATCTTACCCTCAATTCAAATCTTTTAATTCCGGGCCTGAAGGTTTTGTCTCAGTGGTTTTTGTGTTAGTTTTGTTTTGTTTCTTTCTTTCCTAATCGTCTCATTGTTGAGTTAATGCCCCCTTTTCACAGAACCTATCACACATAGAACACAACACTATTTCACTAGGTTTCTTAGGCGCGCGCAGAATAACAGGTAATGCGGTTAAACAAAGGAAAACTGCCCAAATGCTCTGTTAAAGCGATACACTTTAACTTTTAAACCCAAATACTGTTTTCTCTAACTTTTAAAGCTATTGTTCGTACCTGTTAGAAATGTTTTTCCACTCTAAAAATATTTTCGGAAATGTTCCCCAGCAACAAGCGTTTAGCCGATCGCTGGTATTTACGTGGTTATGTCTAAAATGTTGATTGCCGTGTTTTTCTCTGGCTCGCGGTGAATTCTCCAGGTATGACACTGGAACGGACGTATTTCCTCTTCTTTCGTTCTTGTTACCTCACTATGTTGTTTTCCTTTATGTGCCTTTAAAAATGCTTGAGAAATTTCTTAACTTACGTATAATTAATATGAAAGTTTACATTTCTCAAAAACATCTCTTTTAAAGCCTGACTTCTCACGAATCCAATAGTCAAGACTCGCTAAAATATCACCATTCAAATGCCCGTAAAATATCTCCCTTGGTTGCTTGAGATTTTTTTAATACATTAAACAAATTAATTGATTTTACAGGAACTATTGAAAAATCATTGTTTTAGCACAGGTGCCTAATTTGGTCTCAGTTTTAATACCTCTTTTTATTGTTTCATTTGAACCCAATTTTCTCTTTTGTTTTTCTTTTCAGGTTCTATTAAGCTAACATATATGTGTATATATATATCAGTAGTGCAGGATTGTTTCTGCATTAAATAAATTGTACACATGCTTGTATTGTTCCTTTAATACTTTTGATCTGTAATCTCTGTTTTATTTAGTCTCTTAATTTAAATGACAGTTCTGATTCTGAGTATTCCATTTAACAAGCCAGAAAAAGTAACAGTGAAGTTGGAAACATTGTAAATTAAAAAGCCTAGAAGACATCCCTGGTCTTATTTATGACAAACTGTGCCTGTGTCTATGAGACATGAGAAGCCTGACTACATTCTCAGTGCAAACCTGAAATCCCCAGAACTGTCACCTCCCTGGTGGCCTTTCCATATCAGAGAGGAGCAATCACCCAGGCAAATGGAGCGTTAATGTCTTACTCCCAAACTAAAATTATTCTTCCTTTGTAGCATTTATTTGGGAGGCAGGACTGTGGATAACTTAAAAAAAAAAAAAAAAAAAAAAAAAAAAACAGCA